GGTACCAAGTAATACCAGGATTGATAGCAGAGGAGATGTTAGTAAATAGTACATTTTATTCACCAAAATCTGCTTCTTCATACTGTCTTTATAATACCTAGTAAATATACCAGAAATTAAGGAATCCATTGTTAATTGTGTCCATGGGTATCACAGTTAATTGACTATAGAGAAGTATGCTCTTAAGCTATGGCTGATTTTTCCCTTATTTTTCTTTTTTTTTTTTTTTCTTTTTTTTGGTAACAGCATGTTTTTAGGTAGGTTCTTTCATATAAACACAGCTAATATATAGAATATTTTTGTCAAGTCAAGAGTAATAGCTCCAGTTTTTTGACAATGTTCAAAATACAATTTTGCCCTTTTTTTTTTTTTTTTTAGTTATTGGGACAGAAAAAAAATGCTTTAAATATTTTTTGTGAAACAAGGTTGCACTGGAACATCTGTCAGGTCTAGTGTGGTCTAATCCAGAGGATCAGACCAGAGCAGTCTAATCCTCTCTGGGATGACTGTACCAGTAAATTATCCTGAAGAGAAGGGGGTTATTTCTGTAATACATTTTACTTTGCAGTGACTGCAGACCTGACCCTTTTAAGTCTACAGTAAATGCAGAATACCTTACTGCAATAGAAGGAGCTCACATTTATTGTAAAGTAAGAATATTCACACTGGCAATCACCATGGAGTAGATGATGTATTATAATTTTACACTCTTGCTTTTTTTTTCTAGCTGACCTTTCTGTAGATAGTAGAAGTATGAGCCTGAAGTACACCCCATAAAAATATCTACTAGATTGAGACATCCGTTCAACTCTCCAAAGGTATCTATGTAAAGTGTTTAGTGTTTCAGTAGCTTTCCTTCTTTTCCTCTTGTATAATGGGAGCAGAAAGTCCAGTCTAGGTAGTTACAGGTAGCCCCTCTATGGATGAAGCCTGCTCTTAATCCAGTGTATCAGGCCTTTGCTGTAGCGTTTGCCCAGGCTTAAGGCTCTGGAGGATGGAGAAGATGGATTTAGAGAAATAAAGCCAGCTGATAGATGTGATCACTTATTAGATATCTTTCATATAAATTATGAAAAATAGCTACAGTGAATTATAGCTGTAGGCTTTCAGATAATAAGCTTTTCAGGAAAAAAATAATGAAACTAAGTGACGCTCAGTTCTGAGTTTTAGTACCAAGCTGAATCATAATTCAAAGTTCTTTTAAAACTTCCAGGATGGTTTGCAAATCTTGATGAAATTGAGAGTAAGCTTGATCATATTTAACCATTTTAAGTGAGTTTTTTGGCTGTTACTTTACTCCAGGAATATTCCTCTCCAATAAGTTTCCAGGTCATTTCTGTCTGCAATCCATTGCCCAGTGCTGTCAAGGTCCAGGGACTGTAATGTTTTACTGTCAGTTTTTGGGCAGTTATCCCTCATCAAAATCGATAGAGCTCGCGAAAGCCTCCTTTTCCAAGGTAGTACTCCTTGCAAAATCAATAGAGATAGCCTAGCAGGCAGAGAACCAGCAGCCTGTATTCTCCTGTTTCCATCCCCATGCATCCTTGAAATCAGACTTTCCTCAGCTCCCAATGCCAACCGGCAACAGGAATTTATCCTTAATCCTGACACAGCCTAGGGGATCCCATGGCCACAGGGAATCTTCTGAACACCCTCCATTGAGGGTTTTATTAAGGGTTTTTTTGTGTGTACATGTGCAATATAATAAGCTGAAGTCTTGGAAAGGACTAACAAAGGTGTTTGGAGAGGTGATTCAATATCTTTTCCCACCAGATTAAAATAACATCATAAGTCTTATCTGGTAGTCTTAGGCGCTAATATGAAGAAACTACCTTTTTTTTGTGTTTCATGATTATTTGAAGTGCAACACAACACAAAATTTTGTAAAAAAAACCCAAACAAACCAAAACAAAAAAAACACCACCAAAACCAAAACACACACTTTTGCTACTATTTAGAAACTTTTACTGTGAATATTCCTGTTGGAGATCGATACTTCACTGCCCACAATTAATAGTTAATGCTATTGCCTATGCTTAGATCCCAAAGCTGGTACCTCAACCATGAGATTTGTTAATGGCCATTGCTGCCACTGAAGAAACATGAAGTTTCTGAAGTCAAGTGAAGTTTAGTAGTTGGATAGAAACATCTGCCAGCAAAATATTATACAGCAGCAAAGGATGTAGGTGATAAAGGAGCTCTATAAAAATGTTGGTTTAGTGCTCTATCATGATTTTAAAAAATTCATACGTTAAGACTTACTACAAAAAGGAATAGGATAGAAAATAGAGAATATTAATATAGTACTGCGTGGTACCATGGTATATCGTGTTGTCATGTCTTCCTTTGGAGGCTGTGAAAAGAACAAGCAGAGGTGATGAGTGGCCTTGATATGAGGAATGCCTGAATAAACTAGAACTATATAATTCAGAGCACGATACCTGAGAGACAGTGTGGTAGGGGGTGTATATAATTATGAATGACCCAGTCAAAGGGAATAAAAAATGGGTATTTATGACCTTTTCTAATATGCAACAACTGAAACTAGCAGAATGCAGCTGCAAAGCAAAGCAAAGGGAACTGTCCTTAGTTAAGAGTCACTTTCCTTAGTTGTACAGAATAAAATATTACACAGGTTCAAAAGGTTGACCTCATCCAGTACAGCCATTCATATCTTCCTAAGTTCAAATACTTTTGGTTCTTCTGATTTAAAAGTCCTGTATTTCCCCTTCCCCATGCATGATTGAACTCCATTATTATATTTCATCTACATATTTGCATCTAATTTAGATGATGTGATGACATTGTTTACTTGCCTCTGAAACCGCGATGTAATATTGTAGTGTAAAATTAATCCTACCCCCAAAAGAACCATAGCTGAAGGAATTTAGTAGGAGAAAACCCAAGACCATGATGCGATTTTATTATTTTGCAGTAAAGTTGTTCATGGGGTTCCAGTGTCTCTGCTCCATTAGGATGCATTGGCATGTCAAATATAATTGCATTCAGGTTAGATTCTGCTATACAATAAGTATATTGTTTCAAAAATGGTGCTTTGTGTCAAGAGGAACACCAATGAAGTTACAAAACTTTATTCAAGGAATTATGCTACATTAGTAAGTCTTGCAAAGTCTTGTTTGAGGGTTAATCAACAATGTGGTGTGAGATCTTTCTGTAAAGAAAAATTATTATTCAGTTCACTGTTCTTGTCTTAGAATCCATCACATTCGCTCTCAGCCTTCACAGATGTCGTATATAATATTTCAAAGTTCTGATAATTCCCCCAAATCCAGAATTTTCTTTTTCGTGTTTTAGAAAAGAAAAATTAAGTGGCATCCCTTTGTAGACTATGAGAATTACTTTTAAAGTGTTTCAAGGGAGTATATCTCCTTAGGGTCTCTATACGCTGTCTCCACTGCTTTCCTAAACATAGGCATTTTGGTAATAATTGTAGTGGTTCAAATGCTGTAGTTTCTTACTAGTTGATACCAAGAACTAAGTGCAGAGTTTCCAGGCTAGGTTTCCATACAGCATAAGTGTATTTCAAAGTGTAAAATACTGCTGTTTCTTGGTATAAAATGCTAACTCACTTTGGTTTTAAACAAAACAGATTTTATGAAACATTGTTTTAGAAATGTGTGAATTCCTCACGTGTCAGCCAGTATTCAAAACACCACGCTGAAGTGACTTCTGCAATTCTTTTAATGGACAAAATTTTGATGAGGGAGTACCTCAGTTTGGGTATGAATCAGTTGTGTTTGCTAGCAGTCCAGTCATGCTGAATTATAAAGTACTGGTTTACATAAGTACTTTGTGGATATAATTCTAATTGTATGACTATTATTCCTCTCTTTTTTTAATAAACATCAGTGTTATGAAAATATTCTAATCTGATAAACAAAAATTTTCCATTTTAAACTCCCCAAAATATATTGGAAGTATATGAGTCCTAAGCTGTGAAAACTGCTAGCAAATAGGGACTTTTTTTCCCCCAAATTAACTCAGTTTTGGGTGTTCTGATTATGAAAGCGTCTTTTATCTTGATCTAACTGAACAAGGAAGAAGACAGAAACAAGGGGGATTTAGGGTCAGTTCCAAAGAGCTCGCAGTGATGAAATTTTGTGAAACAAATCAAAGGGGTGTATTGTATTAAACAATATTTGCTGCATTTGGGATTTCAGGATGCAATTCTATCCCAGACAGACTTGTCAAAAGCAGGAGTCATTGCACTGAAGTTATACATGTTCAGTGTTTAACTGGTATTAAACTAATTTGAGATGACAGACCATTTCCATGCTCTTTCAGAGCAGGCCATGTTATCGTCAATGTATTTAGGAAATTAATAGATATTACTTGTATATAATTTGCTCATAAATGATAAGCAAGGTTGTTTGTAATGCTTTTGTTAATGTATGGTAAACGGAGATGTGTGTCTGTCATTCCAATATTGGATGACAAATAACAAAGCTATGGAAGATATTCATTACATCTCAGATATGAAAGTGTTCCTCATGTTTTCATGTGTACACGCGTTCAAGAAGGACCCAGTAGGGTTTCTTTAATTTTATTTTATTTTTAGTAAGCGTACTTTCTTGTAAAAGCCTGATAACTAAATTATTGTAGTTTGTATCTTCATGCTTATTCTGCTTGGGTATATTACCTAGCAGGTCTTTAAAGCAGTGAATCTTGGATCAAAATTAACTTGAAAATAGCCTTCATCATGATAAATATTTATATTTGGACAGAACCCAGGGCAATTCTTCTAGCCTCTGTGACAGAGCCCCTAAGAGGAGCTGGCAATTGTATAGCAAATTGAAGTGTGCAAATCTTCAGCCTCGCAGCAGATACAGTAAATATGTGCACTGTAACACAGCAAATATGTGAAGGCTTTTAGTTACGGAGGTGTGTAAACGTTTACAAATATGATTAACTGCAGAGCACAAAATCCATTCGCAGCATCAAAGGCAAAACTAAAATTACTTTTTCCCGCCCCCCTCCAGGATTATGCTGAAAAGAAAAACACGATAGCAAAAGCTCTGGAAGATCTTAAAGCCAACTTCTACTGTGAACTCTGTGACAAGCAGTACTATAAACACCAGGAGTTTGACAATCACATTAACTCTTATGATCATGCTCACAAACAGGTAAGAGGAATCTGCTCACTACTTCAACTTAGTTTCAGGTAGAATAACGAAATAAGATGTCCTTCAGGCGGGCTTGGAAATCACAGTTGAGTTGTGCCCAAATTTCAGGTTTTGGGAAGCAAAATACAACTGTTTTCTTAGAAACAAATCTTAACATGAAGATTTTACAGTCAAAAATTCTGAGATGGCAAGAAAGGGAAATGTGAACAGTTAAGCTGTGAAGAGGAACAGGGAATGATGAAAAATATGATTAAAAGTGTAAATGTACAATTTCCTTGTTATGAGTTTAATTTTGCACATAAATAAATACTGTGGTATACCTAAGAGATGACTTACTGGGAGGCATTTGTCGCAACAGATGTGGCTAGGAAACTTGATGTACTCCTTGGTAAACTTTCTTTTAGTGCAGATACAATTCTGAAATGGGCTATGATTTTACTTAAATGCATTGAATATAAAAACAACTGGGGTAATGAAAAGTTTCTGGCTCAGCTCACAATGAGATATGTGTTAGCTTTGAAACATTGGTATGTACATTTTTACCACCACATTTTATCACCACACCTTCAAGTTGTGTGTCCTACTTTGGCAACATAAAAGCAGTGCTTCCACATAACAAGAGAGGCAATGCATCCCAGTGCGACGTCCTGGTCTCCGGAGGGGTCAGGACTATGTAATTCAGAGGAAAATACAATCCATCTTGGCTCCACCAAAGAGATATGTAATGAAAATGTAAAGATATGTAATAACTGTACAGGAAATTTCTACTTAGTCCACTTAGCTGGTAATTATCCTGTATCTTTTTTTTTTTTTAATCTGGTGAAATCATATGGTTGTGGATCTGGATTGATTGCTTTTCATTCTAATTGAATCTCCCCTTGTCCTGTAATTCTGCTCAGGGTGAAGGTAGATGAGTTGCTACACATGTATCTATCTGTATTATGTAAACCAATGGTTTGCTTTTCTTTCCTTCAGCACTTCTCCCTGAAACACTTCCCTCTTTCTCTCACTGGTATTTTTATTTAGCCTATAATTTACACTGTCAGCATGAGTATTAGATTTAGTTTTGAGAACTACAGAGATGTGGACCTCAGCAGCAATAGCAATCTCTGAGAAGCTGGAGGGAAAGATATGTTAGATAAGAAATTAGCAGGTAGCTTCATTGCATCCTATAGATATTTGTTATGAGTTGCAAATATTTTTAGTTAAAACACAGCTGGAACTGATTTTCAGGTGTTATGTTCACACAGCAGCACCTCATTGATGGAAGGCAGGAAAAAAGAAGTGATGGGCAGAGTCTTCCCCACTTGAACTCTCTTAGGATTTTTATTTATTAATTTTTAAGTGCTCTGAAGTGCTTTTAAATAATGAGAACCTGAAGGCTGCAGTGTTTGTTCCTCTATTCAGTATCAATGAAAAATTGATTTTGAAACTGCTGTCGGGTGTGAGACTGAACAGGGACTTGTTTCCAGTGGTTCACGTAGCTATTCTTGGTTTCTGAGGGCTTTAGACAGGAGATGGTGGGGACTGCACCAGCATCTGATGGAGCACAGCAGATCCTACCTCTCCATCTTTTGTGTAGGAGGCCTGTGTGTCTGTGTTTGCATGTGGCTTTGTGGATGTGTTTGGTGAAACACAGGAAGCCATCCTCTTACTCTGTAAGACCTCACACGTCTAATCTCCCTGGTAGGAAATCAGACAAAAACGTCTAGTTTTCCAGTAGAAAAAATTGTATGGATGCTTGTTTGGGCGAAGTAATAATTTTCTGTAATATTACTGGTAAATAAGACTATCAGTTCCTGAGATTAAAATGTTAAGTCCAGTTTAACTCTTCTGGAGTGTTTTTTGTGGTGGTTTCTACTGGTGTTATAAAGAAACACCATTCCTCTTCCCATATTTCGGGTGAAAAAAGGGCCTGGCAACATATACTGCAGTGCAGGCTCACTCTGATTTGCTGAATTTTCAAGGAACTTCATACCATGTGCTTTTTTGGAGTAACCTTATTTTACTAAGTGTGCTAGAGCTATTTGCAGGTGCTACTGTTGAATGCTCTGATTTTGTCTTGAAACTTCCTACCTCAATGGCAGAAGTTTTCCAGCAGTTCAGTAGTGGTGAGAGGAACAGATAATCTGTCTTTGGATTTTGCTTCATATTTTTCTCTAACTTTCTCCCTTTGATCACACCTTTCTACTAACAATGGACAGGTAAGGGGAAGCACTTATTAGAAAAAGTTTCCCATAATGCAAGAATAGTTGTAAGCATATGCAGCCAGTTCAATTTCAGTGATCCCAGCACCTGACAGTGGTTTCTGATCAAACGGATGAAAGCTCTGCCTGAGTTCATCCCAGCTGTTCTGAAAAGCCATATTTAATTCTAATCGAGCACTCTGTTATCACACCATCTAAGCCATGGAATGGTTTATCAGAGAAAATGTTCATAACAGCTCCTGTACCTCAGTTTTATTGTAGAAGATTTTCTTTCCATTGATTCAAAGGTTGCTAGCACAGAAAATTTACAGGATTTAAAATAGAAGATTTTATAATTACGTGGTTTTCCTCCATTGGATAGGGGGCCCTGTACTGTCAGGGGTTGGTTGTGTTTTGATTTATTGTGTCTTATAGCTTCTGAACACCCACTTTGAGATAGTATGAGGTCCTTCTGACTGGTCCAGAAAGAAAAGATAGGAATAGGGCAAAACTCATTTGATTTCCTAGGACCTGATGGAGTTCAGGCCAGTGTCTCAAGATCTCCATTGCCTCTGTTAGTGTTTTCTTGTTCTTAGCTTTAGACAATATGGTTTGGAGAGCAGTATCTGTAGCCTTTATGATATACTCCTGGAAAAGCAACTTGTAATCAGTTAGCGGTAATGGAGAAAAATGAACTCTTTTGTTTGCTTTGAAAGCCTAGACAAAAATAGGAAAAAAAAATATAATGCAGGTGTCTTTAAAAACAAAAATGTTCTGGGCTCAATACAGAGAGAAATGTAACTAAGGCTAATATTTAATATAATAATGAGAGAATTGCTATTTGATGATGATGGTCTAAAATCACGGAATGCAGCTTTTGAGACCCATGCCAGGACTTTAAAAACATCTGTATGATTTTATGCAGAATTTTGTTAAGTATTTGGAAGTGCACAAGGAGGTCTCTGAAGTGCTGTATTCGTGCAGAGTGAAAAAAATCTTGCCTGTGTTCCTTGAAATGCTGCAGTTTTGATAAATGTGGCTGAGCATTATTAAGTCTAAGGCTCTGAACAACGTTCATCTCGTAGCCGTTTAGAGTTGGCGAGTTTTGTCTTGTCAGTGAAGAAGGCTGGATCACACAGCTAAGTCCCCTACATCAGTCATTCCTCTGGAGACTTTTGTCGCTACAAGAATGAAGTGATTTTATTCCTGTATTTGAAAGTCTTCCTCTCCATCCCAGAACTTGTGATTAATCACTGAATATCACGGCAGTGCACCCGAGCTTGGTGCTGTTTCCTCTCCCAGGAGTGCTCTTCCAAATATCAAACAACAACAACAAAAAAAGTTGTGATGAAAAATAAAATTAACAGCCCTAATGTATTTGCATCTAGATATGCAAATACAATCAATTAAGTAAATCATAAGTGGGAGTTTTTTCCCACAGAATCAGAGGTCATTTCTCAAACTGTGTCTCCCTGGATGAAAATGATCTCCCTGCTCTAAAAATGTTTTTAAATTTGTATGGAAGTACTAAAACACAAATTATGCAGGAAGACTAAATTAGTAGGTGTCTTCTATCCCTATTACAGACACAAACTTCTACTGTCTACATTTTTATCCTTTCTACATGTTTTTCTTCTTTGCAGATTTTTTAGGAGGTCGGTGCCAAATAGGTTAGAGAATATCAATCTGTAGCCAGTCAGAAGTCCAAACTTTGAACATCTTTATGTGTTTGAATAAATATTTCATGGAATATGGGTGAAGAAGAAGAAATTCGGAAGTAGAAGGGTGTGATTAGGCATAACAATAATAATAAACCCATAATTTTACTAAAGGTATACCTCCTATGAGGTATGAAGCATATAAGGTATACAGTAAGAGCAGTATAGCCCATTTGGGGATGCCAGTATTCTCAGCAAAGATAATTGGATGTTATCAGTTGTTTGACTCTGCAATTTAAAAACAAAGCAGCAAATCCTTGTAGTCAGCATTACAGCTTTAAAAAAAAAAATAATCTCACTGTAGAGTTATTCCCTCTTAAAAAATAAAAGATCCCATCTCTTCTACTTAGTTGGTGCCTGCAGAGGGTGCACTGCAGTGCATCTGCTGGTCACGAGTAGGTCAGCTCAGGGCACTGCGGTGGATCTGCTCACAGGCCATCTGCAGCTTTTGGCATAGCCAAAGAGCTCATATCTGTTTGAAGGGAAATGCAACATGTACTCGGAGAATTGCAAAGTGAAATAAATTAACTATTTACAGGGAGCAAACAGTATTTTATGTTGTTTTTTCAGAGCTGATTTTTGCAGGTTGGGTTCCTCTGAAGCTATTTGAATCAGACTAAGATAGAGGCAATGTGTTGTATACCACCTTGGAAATATAGAAATGATGATTCTCAAAAAACCTGTCATCTTCTAGAGCAGTATGTCAATAAAGAGCTTTACTGTAGTACAGAATAAAACCTTAAGAGCTTCAAAAATGTTCTGAAGATTTGCTTCATAAGCAAAACAAATGTGATATATAGTGGGTCAGAGTTTTGGGGATGATCACCAATAAGGGATTTCATAAAATAAGAATATTAAAACTTCTGTTTCTCAAGTTTTAAGTGTAGCCCTTCCTGTGGATAAGCTGGAGTTGGTTACCTGATAGAGTAATGGTGAAGGGGATCACAAGGAGCGATGCAGAGCAAGACGGCACTCATTTCGTGACATGTGTCTGCCTTTGCCAGGCTCTGCTTAATGGGACATGCCTGAGAGGGGAGGCTGGAGACAGAGCCCAAGGCCGGCTGCTCTCAGCTGGGTCCCGTCCTCTTCTACCAGT